GAAGTTTGCTTGAACTTGTGGACATAGAAATTCTACCATTCTTTCTATTTCCTTACTCTTTTTCATGTGTTGGGCAAATTATTATGAGCATTCGAGAAAGAAAAATTGAAGGAAATATGGTGAACCCGAGATTATGCGCGAAATTTGAAGAAATAGAGAAAAGATTCATGTCATGGAGCTTCAAAGACGATGGACTAGAGAAGATTTAGAGATATCATGATGCAACTTAGTCCTTAGTTTTATAGGAACCATACCATAAATCTTTAGGCAAAAGTTGTAGAAGACTTGTTGTGGCTTTCGAATTATCTTCTTGCAAATTTGAATGAACTTGATCCACATGTACAACTTTTAATCTTGAATGAGAATAGTCATTGAAGCTTGTATGAAACTTGAACAATTGAATATTCTTTGATCTTAAACAACACTTTGAATGATAAATTGAATGGAAGGATTTGAAACAATTGGATTTGGAATGATGAATAATGAAAAGAGTTGAGTCTTGAAAAAGTGTTTGAAATTTTAACGATGAAGTTCTTTGAAATTTTAGACCAAAAGAAATCTTGAATTGTCTTGTATGGATGCCTTGACAAATAAACACGACTCTTAACTTGAACGATCACAAAAAGATATCTGAAAAATTAGAGATTAAGAATATTATAAGCCAAAAAATAACCTGCAATATTTCAATGAATTTCATGGATTTCTAAGTGCAATTCATTTTTTCTCTTTGAAGCAAACTTGTAGATAACATCTTGAAGAGTATCGTGCAAAAAGAATCGACTCAAAATGATGAAAATTGAAAAAGTTATGATCTTCAAAAGTTGGACGAAAGTCTTTTGAATTTAGGTCAAAGTCACGAAACAACCTTTAATATTCTCATACTTTTAATGGTCTTCCATACATAATTAGCTTTTAACTTGTAAAGAGAAGTTGAAGATGATGTCAAGGAGATTAATATACTCGAAGAATCAATCAAAAATATTGGATAATAAAGAAGTTATGATTGTTTGAACTCGAACTTGCAAATGTTGACTTTTGGTCAACCCAACTTTGAATTAACATGTGAACTTGATCTTTTTCCACAACCCAAAGTATTCTTAAGCACATATAAACTTGAGATGATAAAATCTTAATTAAACCAAATTCACACTTGTCAGAATCTTGAGATTACTCGACGAATGAGACATGGAAATAAACACATGAACCTATCTTAAAGATTCTCGAGACTTAAGCAACCAAACTCGCCTTAACCATGCTGAATAAAGCTTGAGGATAGCGTGACCTAAGATTATAGATTATCACTCTGAACAATAGGCCTTTGAGAACCAACCCTTGACCTGAACAACCCACAACCCTAATCAAGGAACCTTCACCTTTATTTCTCGATCGGAAACCCTGTCTTCTAAAAGAAATAAAATAAACAAGACATATTTTTTTATTTTGGTTAGAAGTCGATAAAAATATAAAACACATATATACAAGATGTACAATTAGGGTGCTTAGTGATCCCTCAAGAACAAATTTAAAGATAAGAGAGAGAGTAAAAGAGATACCCAACCCTAGTGCGTGATCTCGATGCATTGTAATGATATGGAATAGTATAGGATCTTAGAGGCAAAAAATAGGGTATAAATATGTGTGGTGATGATAATTATGATTGTTATGTGATGGTTTAACGACGAACATAAAAGTGTGAGTATATGATGTGTGGTTTCTATTTGAATCGTAGACGATAACCTTAAAGTTTACTTTTCTATTATATTTTTTATAATTGATTATGATTACTCACTCATTCTTTTTGAATGTTACCTCCACGTGAGTAACGTGCAGGTGACTAGGAGTAGTTCGTAGAAGCTTTGAGGATATCTTCACAGTGTTTTATTTAATTTTCATTTATTAGAGGTGTCTTACTCTGATATGTAATATTGGGTTGGAAACGCTATGTTTTGCAAATGTTACGTTAGATAACGTGTTTTATGAGATTTCTTTTGGATGTTAAAGTGGTCTTAAGTATAACATTTGATGAGATCATAATAGTTGAATTTTGAAAGATGAATGAAATTTATATTATGACTATGATTCCCGCTGCGAAGTTTTAAATGATGTGATGAATTACGAACAAATGCATGTTTTAAATTGATGTAACCCGTGTTACAGAGCAGGATTGTTGTTATATTATTTTCTATAAAGTGTGACACCCTCGAGTGGTGATTCTATTTTGATTTAATTTCATAAATTATATGATTAATTCTTGTGGGATTAGAAGGGTGTTATATTTGTCGAAATTTCCTTTTTCATCATAATCGCTCATCTTGAGAAGCTTCTCCAAAGACTTTGGGATCTTGTTCTCCATCTCTGATACTCTTATTGATAACGGGTGCTTTGGTTGCACCTTTTTCAAGTAAATATTTGCCTAAATCGAGGAGGAAGCATGGCTTTAAGGAGGAATTTGATGCTTCATGATTTTATGTCGGTCCTTCAATTGAGGAGCCTCACCTCTTTTTATCCTGGCTGGCTCTGGGATGTCAATATAATCTTCTTTTAAGTAACTTTTTGAACTGTATTTTCTTGAGAGAGAGGGTTGTGAATACTTTCTTCCAAGCATTGAAGCCTTTCTTAAAGAGTGTGAGTTTTGTTGCCGAGTGATGTTAAACATATTGTTCAACAGCTCGTTGGAGCCTTGCATACCGAGGTTCGCTTGTAAATTTTCAGGTTGCGTAGCTGGAAGTGGAACATGAGTCTCTATTGGATTAACTTTAGATTTGACCAATTATGAAGCACGAACCATATTTAGATGTAGAGAAACTACCGCTTTGAAATCTACAATGTTTTGTAATTGAGGAAGAGAAAGTTAACTACTTGCTGCTAAAGCAACAGCGAAAATTTCTCGTGCATCGACGAATCTAGTAACGTTAGATCCAACCATCACAGTGAAAGTAAGAAATGAGAATATGAAAATCTGAGGAAATGAAATTGAGATACTGCTAAGTTTTTAGAGTAACTTACAAACTACGAAAGTTAGAGTGAATGTGAATTCGTGAAAATCGTTTGCTTATCAATTCCCACACATACAACCAATATTGCATTCTGAAATCATAAATGAGAAGATGAACATTCCAACGCTCTAATTAATATGTGAGAAAGAAGAGTGAATTTAAATTGTATTTAAAACTCCTTACCTGATTTTTACGCCTTATATATATATATATATATATATATATATATATATATATATATATATATATATATATATATATATATATATATATATATATATATATATATATATATATATATATATATATATATATATATATATATATATATATATATATATATATAGAAAGAGATTAACTTAGTCGTTATTAGTTAGGAGTGAAATGTAGAGAGTCGTTTGATATATTTACAACTAAGATTACTAGTGATCATTAGAATGATAATTTTCACGCTCGACTCAAAACCTTCTAAAGTAGATCTAATCAGTATATATATATATATATATATATATATATATATATATATATATATATATATATATATATATATATATATATATATATATATATATATATATATATATATATATATATATATATATTAAAAATTAAATAATTAAAGTTATATAGAAATTATTTTTAATTGGTTAATAAAACCTATCCAAAGAGAAACCATACATTTAACAGTGTGCTCGAGGTGCATTTTTAATCAATTTTGAGTTATATATTCTTTCAATTCAAAGATAAAATTAGTCTCGGTTTTATATAAAATAATATGATACAATTCGGTCTAGTTTTTTGTAAACTTATTTAAAAAAATTATATTCAAATTATAAATTATAATTTTTAAAATATTATTATAAAAATTAAGTAAAATAATAAATGGCATACAGTACATAATACATAATATATTACAAAATGCCAACAATCGATTATAGCAAAACAAATAAAATTGTAAGGATAAAATAATAGTAAGTATATATACGGTTTGATTTGATATTGAATTTAATTTAAAATCCAACCTAATATAGACATTTTTACAAAAAAAAAAAATCAAATACATTCAATATAACAACAATTAAATCTTATCTCACAAAGTAGAATCAACTACATGAGTCAATTTTTGTCATAATGTCTATCCAACTCATTAATTTGGAGATCTTTATTAATAATTTCTCGAATAATTAATTTTTCAAAGTCTGTTCTACACTCCTTACTACATAATCTATAAGTATTCCCTCTACATACCTAAATCACCTAACTCTATTTTCACCATCTTTGTCTTGTACTCGTACACCATCGCAAGTTTTATCTCAGTACGATAAAAATTTCTCTCCAGTTTGAGTGATACATTTGTGTCACATAAAAGCTCTTGAAGCCCTTCTCTTGTGCATAATTTGTAAGATGTTATGGTCTTCAACTTTCACCTCTATGTTAAGAACTATGTTAAGAACGCTTCTCCTTTTGTTAAACTTACATTTCATATACTATTATTTCATATACTATGTCTTATTTCTGTTTAGGTTAAAGACATTTCTTTCTAAAACTCGCGAGTTATTCCTACTCATCTTTCTAAAATTTCAGTCACAGCCAAATTCGGTTACTCCATTATATAAAGCAGAGCTTTAAGTGAAAAATAATTGCAGACCAGTTGACCTAACACATAACAAGTTATCTGATTTTCAGCCTAAATTCAGCACTAACAATTCATCATATTGACTCAAACCGGAATGAATTTCACATATACATCAAAGTTCAGCTTCTATTTTATACAGGACACAAGAAGATCAAAAGTTAAAAATATATAAATACCAAAAGCTCACAGGACAAAAATAAATTGATGCACGTAACAAATGGTCACAAAACAAGCCCAAAGATAAAAAAGTAAACATAAGGCAATCCCAATCGGTATATCATTAATGTGCAAGGGGTAATAGATTGGTAAAATAATTGATTTTTGAACTTGATACTTGAAGACGCCTTTCGTATCCATGTTATTTGAACTCAATAAGAACTCACAAGAAATGGATGCTGGCAAACTCCACACTCGATGGTCTCTGAACCTGAGGTAGGTACCTGAACCTGCAAATATTCCAAAACAAAGCCAAAAACGGAAAATGAAAATGATGTAGGGATACATACTGATACAGAAGAATATCAGCAGGGGAAATAAGCAATATATCCAAACCTGCAGATGGACAGTGCATATAGGACATGCAACTTCCTTCATCCGTCTTCCAGATCCGTCAGACTTGGAACCTACAAATCAGATCACATAACTGAGCCACAACTATTATTTTGCAAATCTTACAACAACTACGCCTTGCCCACATAAAAGATTACTTGAAACCTACATCCCTAGAAAAGATGTGAATAAAAAATCTTGAGCAATATTACAACAGACTCCCAAAATTGAACCTAGATAACATTACCTGATCCAGATGTCTTACGATTTCTCTCCAGCTCCTCCTGCCAAGACATTCAGCGATAAAACAAATCAGTATATGGTTACACAACAGAAGTAAGATTTACCAATATATTAATAAATTTAAAGCCTTTCATGGGCAAGAAAAACCAAGACACCAATTGTACAACTATGCCCAAAATTAAACCTGAAGTTTCCGAGCAAGATCCTCATGGCTCTGCAAAAGAGGTTTACTTGATGATTCTTTGGCACTGATCAGCCGCTGAGTCACTTCTGCCTGTGCAGTGAGATAATAAAAAACTTAAGAACATGGCTTCAACAAATGACACGCTAAATCAATTGAAAAATAAATAACAAAAATGAGTGTGGAGGAAATGGAAGATGCCTTTTGACAAAAGAGAATTCCTAACTGATCACAGTTGATGTCAGTACTAATTTACTACATCGGCAATTACAAAAGTGGACACTTTCAAGAATTATCCTCTTTTCCGTTATTTCCAAAGAGATCAACAGAAAAACTGATGAGTCTCAGTAGGCTAGGCACTATCAGAAATGGCAGGAGGCATAAGATGATATGCAGATAATATTCTAGGAGTGGGAGAACTATATGAAGGAAACAGGGGGCACCAGAGATAATGTTTGAAAGTCAGCAATTGGGTTGGGTGGTTTGGTCAGAGAGAAAATGGTTTTCTCCGAATTGGCTTTTATCTTTAAATATTTTGTTATTATCATCTTGCAAGGAGTATAGCTCCATTCCATTGTCATTTTAATCCCTTCTCAGTTGCAACAGTATCTTGTAAAGTGGATCCGTCTTCTATTAATTGAGTTCCCACACAAACATGCATCTGATTTATGGTTCGTATCAATTAAAAAATGTCACACATACCATGCATCTGTCGCAAACTCGTACTGGCTGAGCATTCTCTTCAGCAGTTAGGGCAATTCTACCATGAGTACATTTGTCACAGAAAATATCGCCACAGTTCCTACAGTGATGCTGGTACAAGCAGAGGACACTCATTAGAAACACAACACAAAACATAGAAAGCATAGCATAAGAAAGGAAACAAGAAAACCAACCTTGCGATTAAAAGCCCCAAAATCAGTGCCACATGCAGTGCATTTTGTGACTGCTTCATCTGGGACCTGTGCATGAAAAGAACTGGGTAAAGATTCCAATAAAGATAAGAACTAATGAAGGGCCCTGGTTAAACTAAATTATGATAACACAGTTGACCAATGAATTTTTACCAAAACTACATGGTATTTAGAAGTTTTCCAGGAGTTAGTAGAGAGGAAGGCTAACATTCAATAAATTAACTGGATAATAAGACCGCCCCTAATATGAGCAATATTTTAGGGGTCCAAAGGTGGTTAAGAGTGGGTACATCTGATTTAAATTCTTTCATTTATTTGTGCAAACCAATAAAAAATAGTTGAGGGGTTAGGAATGCAGAATACTGTTGAAAAATGGGAAAAATAGAGGTTTGTTGTTCGAGTAGGTCCATATTAGAGACCACCTGATTACACATGTTTAGAACAATCACAATAAACTACCAGAAAATAAGAAAATTACAAATTGCATTCTAGTAAAAATGAAAATGGTTTTAATGATAAAACCTGAAGATCATTTAATTAGGGAAAGGGGGGAGAAAATTCAAATTGCATCTATTGTTACCCAATGATCTTTCTCTTCATTGGCAGGTTTAATCATATTCATCCAATCACCAAGGCCTTTCTTTCTTTCTGTAGACTGCTCATTTGTTTTCAATGATTCAGCAGGCCTCCTGTTTCCACCCATTTCCTTGAACTGCGTTAAAAAATGAGTAATTAAAACATGTATAATAAACAGTTGTCGTCATTGATAACAATATGGGGGAATTTGATAAGTAGCCAAAGACCCCAAGAACAAAACAACTTCAAGCTATTTAAGTAGATTAGGAGCTGGGCTAGGAATAATGATAAAAAAGTTATTAGTATTTTAATCAATTGCAAGAGACACCGGAAGAAACTGGCAGCTTTTTAAAGAATATGAAACGATGTATTTATTTTTTGGTGATTAATGTAATTAAATTGTCTACTCCGTTGTTTGGCTTGTTAGGGTCAACAGCCAAAACAATGAATTCATTATGAGAGACATGGTCAACACTATTACACGACTTTTAAGTTTTAAGGAATGACTGTTTTGTCTAGTGATCCTTGCATCAGGATGGATTCAGTGTAAGCAACAGTGAAGCCCCAGATTGTTTTGTTTTTACTAAACAATGTTCATTGATAATTCACTTGCTCAAAAATGGATTACATTTTCATGAGACCAATTAGATAGAAAATTTGAGGTAGATATGTAACATCAAATATAATAAATTATACAGATTGTTATTCAGTCTTCATATAGAGGATCAGAGGGGAAAAGGTTCAAGAAACGCTTTCCATTTGTGATAACCCTACCACCATATAAGATGTATTTTATGAAGAGGTTCAAAGATATTCAGAGATCTGAACCCCGAGACTGCGTAGGAATGTTAATGTTGTGACTTGAGCTGATTAAATGCCTGTGCGGCAAGAGGGTCAAGTGGTAGAAGGAATTCAGTTATAGAAGAGAGAGGAAATGTAAGAGGCGTGAAAAGCACAAGAAGGGTTTATAAAGGGGGGGAAATCAGGCTACAGAAGAGAAGATATTGTGAAGGGCGTGGAATGTAAGAATATAAGGTTTAGGTAGGGAGAGAATCAAGCATTCTCAAAGCAATATGCACTTTTCCTATTTTTGTTCATTTATGTAACTCACTTATATCCCTGCTCTTGTCATGCATATGGCCTGTTTGGATTGACTGATTTAAGATAATCAACAGGCATAGGTTTTGGGAAAGTGTTTTCATATGTTTTTTTCAGCTTATTTTAACTCACGATAGCTTATGAAAACAGATTATAGCATATATAAAAACAATTTAAATTAATTATATCTTTTTCCGTAGAAATATCTTATGTGAGCTTATGCACAAACACAAGTGTTTATCATCATGATAAGCCGTTGTGCTATAAGCTGCAAATAAATTGTTTATCCAAACAGGGCAATATTAGTACAGTAGAGGAAATATAATTCAGATTTATTTTCATATAGTTCCAGTTCATTATTCAATCTCATTGCAACTCAAACATGGCAAGCAACTAAAACTAAATCCTTTCCCAAGTCAACCTCAAAAATACAAAAAATTGATATCTTTTCCAGAAAGTTTACTAAAATGAAACATGTTGTATAACCAATTAATCGAAAATATGAACTGTCGTATCTACTGTCATAACATAAGGATGAAATTCTTTGAAAACCTGTATGGTTGCAGCAGTCACTGTATCCAAAAGAGTGTTCGTAGTGTAACTATTAGACTGCAATCTGATCCGTCTTGGCTCAATGTCTACAGGGCTCTTCGACCAAAATGCAAAGGTAGTTGAATCGAATCTCTGCGTTATTCAATTAACAAAACATTATATTGAGATTGATTAGGAAAATGAATCTCCCATATACAATTCAGTAACATGAAAGTAATCAAGAAGCTCACATCACATCTAGTAATATTCTCAAGAGGATATATTCTCAAAGTGCGACTGGTATTTGGATCTAGCATGCGAAGTCCATCCAAACCAACCTGAAAGAACACGCATTAAGAAAAGCATAATCAAACTAGCAGCAATACCAAACGATATGCAAACATTCTTTTGACAAAAAAAAACAGAAATTGGTCTGTATATTAGTGAATGCCTACAAGTTTCTAATAAAATTCACCGGAACAGTTAGTGGACAAGATAAGTAATAATAAACGAACAAAGGCTTTTCCTCTTATGGTTTCATATTATCAAATCTGTATGGAATAAAGTTACTTCTATTATGGCTTTATTAGAAGTAGTATCTAATTAAGGCTATTAGATATTTTGCTATCATGTAACTGACACCTGTCAAGGTGTCAGTAGCCTTAACCTGTTACAGCAGGTCATCTATCTTGTAATATAAAAGAAAGTTAGTTAGCATTTCGTAACTAACTTTCAGTTCAATGAAAAATTGTTGAGAATCAATGAAACTCTCTCTTTCACTTTCTATCATGGTATAAGTAGAAGTAGAGTAGCTCCGTTCGATCCACGGTTATGGCGCCTTCGCCGCCACCGTCACCTTCCGCCTCTCGTTCCAATTCCGATAATGAAATTCCAACACCGGTGAAGACTGCGACGGTAGCTTCCGATGATCTTCGCCGTTTCAATTTCGCGCTTAAACTCTCGCAAAAGCTTGACGAGAAAAACTTCCATCTATGGCGACAACAAGTCGAACCATTCATCAATGTGCATGGTCTCACTGAATTCGTTGTCTGTTCGCGAATTCCGCCTTGATTCATTGATGATCAGGCTTGCAAATCTGGATCTGAAAATCCTGATTATTCTGTTTGGCTCCAGAAAGATCAATTGCTGTTATCGTGGCTCCAATCCACGTTATCGAGCGAAATTCTCTCTCGAGTGCTAGGTTGCACTCATGCTCATGAACTATGGGATCGTCTGTTTCAGTACTTCCAAAAACAAACATGTGCTCGTGCTAGACAACTACGTGTTGAACTTCGTGCTATGAAGCTTGATTCTATGACTATTCAGGATTATCTGCTCAAGATACGACTGATTATTGATGCCCTTGCATCAATTGGTGATCCATTACCAATTTCTCATCATATTGATGTAATCCTTGAAGGATTACCTTCTGAATTTGCTCCAGTTGTCTCTGTAATTGAAAGCAAGTTTGGTGTTATGGACATTGATGAAGTTGAGATTCTTCTGGTTGCTCATGAACTTCGTCTTACTAAGTTCAAAAAGGTCTCTGTGCCTGATCTTGCTTCCCTGAACCTTACTCAGGCTGTACCTGACGTTCCTGCTACCAGTGACTCTAACACTGTGCTCAGTTCTGATTCTTCCACTCCTCAGGCTCCTCCTACGGCTGAACCAGAATATAACAGCTTCAGAGGTGGTAGATTTGGTAGAGGAGGAGGAGGGAGAAATGGTAGAGGTAGAGGTGGCCGCAACTCCAATGTGCAGTGTCAAGTTTGTTCTAAGTTTGGTCACTCTGCCTTCAACTGCTGGCATAGGTACAATCAGCAATTTCAGCCTACACATGCTGGTGGAAATCAACAAGTTCAGTCACCAAATATGGGTGGAAACTTCTACAACCCTATATCCTGGCCAAATTATGCTCCCAATGTGTGGACTAGAGCTCCAGGACCTGCCAGAATGGCTGCTCCTCTTATGTTGCCTCCAAGCACATTGGTTGCTAATGCTATGCCATCATCCTCTGCTGGTTGGTTTCCTGATTCAGGAGCCTCTTATCATGTTACCAGTGATGCCAAAAATCTGCAGCAGTTAACACCTTTTGAAGGTCATGATCAGATTTTCATTGGCAATGGCCAAGGTTTGCATATTAAATCTGCTGGTTCTAGTACTTTTCCTTCACCCTATCAACCACACACACTAACACTCAAAAACCTTCTGCTTGTTCCCTCCATAACTAAAAATCTCATGAGTGTAAGCAAATTCTGCAAAGATAACGATGTCTATTTTCCATTTAATGCTGATACTTGTTGTGTCAAATCTCAGGTTTCGGGTGAAACACTCCTTGAAGGGTCTGTTGGCAGTGATGGCCTGTATGAGTTTCCTAATGTGCAGCTGTCCAACTCTGCTAAACCAGCTAGTCTCTTTCCCTGCTTTTCTGCCAAAAAAACTGGTGTACCTAGTACTCAATATACTAGAGTAGATCCTAAGTTACCTAATGTGTGGCATCTTAGGTTAGGACATCCCAATCTTCGTGCTTTGAAGCTTATTTTGCAAAAACATTCCCTTTTCAAATAAAGACCATTCTCTTTTCTGTTCTGCTTGTTGTATGGGTAAAGCTCACTGTTTACACTCACCTGCCTTACACACCACTTACACTACACCTCTTGAACTTGTTTATAGTGACCTATGGGGACCTTCTCCCAGTCCTTCCACACTTGGTCACAGCTATTATATTTCTTTTGTAGATGCTTACTCCAAGTTTACTTGGATCTATTTGCTTAAAAACAAATCTGAAGCTTTGAATATCTTTAAGCAATTCAAAACCATGGCTGAATTGCAACTAGGGTTTCCCATTAAAGCCATTCAATCAAATTGGAGTGGTGAGTTAGACCCTTCACTAACTTCCTAACTGATTTAGGGATTATTCATAGGGTTATCTGTCCTCATACACACCACCAAAATGGTGTTGTGGAGAGAAAGCTTAGACACATAGTTGATCTTGGCCTCACCCTGTTAAGCCAAGCTTCCCTTCCCTTAGCCTATTAGGATTATGCTTTTTCAACTATTGTCTACCTCATTAATAGACTGCCTTCTACCTCCATAAATTTTCAAGTGCCCTTCACTCTTCTTTTTCATGTCTCCCCTAATTATACATTTCTCAAAGTCTTTGGCTGCTCCTGCTTTCCTCTTTTGAGGCCTTACAACACTCACAAACTGGACTTTAGGTCTCAAGAATGCTTGTTTCTTGGATATTCTACCTCTCATAAAGGGTATATGTGCTTATCTCCAAAAGGAAGATTATACATCTCCAAGGATGTAATCTTCAATGAGTCCAAATTTCCTTATCATGAGCTATTATCTCAATCTATACCTAAAGACTCTTCCACCAGGGGTGCTACTATTCCTGCTCTTCCTTTTAATTTTCCTTCTCATTGTTCCAGTTCCTCTAATGACTTGAGAAGTATCTCCAATAGCAGACTTGCTGACAGTCACACTCAGGATCCTTCCTCTTTCAGTAATTCTGAACCTCCTGAAGTTGTGACACCTGTCTCTGACCCTTCCCCATCTACTCAGGGTCCTTCATCTCCCAGTAGCCCTGAGTCTACTGCCAGTTCCAGTCATTCATCTCAGTTATCTACTGATTTTGCTGAAAGTCCTCCATCTATACCTCCTTTAGCCATGCATGTCCCTGTCATACCTGTCAATCAGCATAGTATGCAAACCAGGGCCAAGTAAGGCTTCATTCAACCTAGACTTCGGCTTAAGCTGCTTCTTACACATACTGAACCTAAAACTATCAGGCACTGGCAATCAGCTATGCAAGCTGAATTTGATGCCCTCATAGTCTCTTGTCCCTCTTCCACCTAACAGACAAGCTATAGGCTATAAAGTGGGTTTTCAGGATTAAAGAAAATCCAGACGTAACTGTAAACAAATTTAAAGCCAGATTGGTGGCTAAGGGTTTTCATCCAAGGCAGGGCTTTGATTTCATAGAAACTTTCTCACCTGTTGTGAAGCCTATCACAGTCAGACTTATTCTTACCATAGCCATCACCCATCATTGGCCAATTAAGCAATTGGATGTCAATAATGCATTTCTAAATGGAATTCTGGCTGAGGAAGTCTATATGCAACAGCCTCAAGGGTTTGTTAGTGCTGATACCACCCATGTTTGTGAATTGAACAAGGCCATCTATGGACTAAAACAAGCTCCTAGGCAATGGTTTGAGAAACTTCAAGCAGCTCTACTCGAACTTAATTTGCAGCCTAGTAAGTGTGATCCCTCCTTGTTTACCTATCTGGCCAATGGGCACACTATCTATCTTCTGGTATATGTGGATGACATAATAATTACAGGCAGTTCTAAATCTCTCCTGACCTCTATTGTTACTCAACTCAACGTGGCCTTCTCTCTAAAGTTCTTGGGTGATCTTGATTATTTTCTTGGCATTGAGGTGAAATCTGCTGCTAATGGTTCTCTGCTATGTTAACTCAATCCAAATATATTAGAGATCTGCTTCAGAGAACCAACATGCTAGAGGCTTCTCATGTCACCACTCCCATGCAATCTACTTGCAAACTTACTAAAACAGGCTCTGCTGAACTCTCAGATCCCTTTTTCTATAGTTCTGTGGTTGGAGCTCTGCAATATGCAACCATTACCAGACCTGAGCTAGCCTATGCAGTTAACAAAGTGTGTCAATTCATGGCACGCCCTGTAGAGGCGCATTGGGTGGCAGTCAAGCATATTCTGAGGTATCTGAAAGGGGCAATTGGTCATGGTCTTTGCCTAACTCCTATTTCCTCCTCCCCTCCATCACTGCAGGTTTTCTGTGATGCAGACTGGGCATCTGACCCAGATGACAGAAGATGCACATCTGGTGCTGCTATTTACTTTGGTGAGAATCTCATCACCTGGTGGTCAAAGAAACAGCCAGTTGTGGCTTGTTCTAGTACTGAATCTGAATACAGATCCCTGGCCCTTGCTACAGCAGACTTGTAATGGATTCAAACTCTCCTGCAGGAACTCAACATTGTTACCAAGCCTCCGGTTGTGCTTTGCGACAATCTATCTGCAGTATTACTTGCTCACAATCCCATCATGCACTCCAAGACAAAGCATATGGAAATTGACTTATTTTTTGTCAGGGAGAAAGTGTTAGCCAAGAAGTTGTCTGTTGTGCACATTCCTGGACAGATCAGATAGCTGATGTGCTCACCAAGCCTTTGGCATCTACTAAGTTCTTCGAGCTAAGGCACAAACTCAGAGTTGTTGCCACTCCCTGAGTTTGTGGGGGGTATTAGAAGTAGTAGCTAGTTAAGGCTATTAGATATTTTTTTATCATGTAACTGACTCCTGTCAAGGTGTCAGTAGCCCTAACCTGCTACAGCAGTTCATCTATCTTGTAAATAAACGAAAGTTAGTTAGCATTTTGTAACTAACTTTCAGTTCAATGAAAAATTGTTGAGAATCAATGAGACTCTCTCTTTCACTTTCTATCATGGCTCAAGGTCAAAAACCCAGATCTAGAACTAATTAACATACTTATACAAATACAAAAGCAGCACAGGCCACCCAGGCAGTTTTGTCAATTGCAAACGGTGGTCCATGGCGAGCCAAAATACTGCCATACCGGCAGCTTTGTGGCGTCGTGATAGAGGATTATGGCAGAAAAACCAACAATATTGGCCCATATTTACCATTGAGGTGAGCCCAAAAACCGCCACTGATATCCTCCAAGGCCGATATTCGATAACACTGTACCCGGGTACCCAACAAATAGCCATATTGCATTATTGTATCTATGTCATGTTTTGATAAACAGCTTAATTAAGTGCTTATGAATAAGCTATTTCTATAACGTATAAAATAGTCAACTTATGGATCATAAGTTGTTCTCCATAAGTTTTCCTAAAAATTTATCCGTAGATAAGATCATATAAGCAATTCCAAACAGGACCCTAAACTAATAAATAACTGGACTTGATCAATTGAAAGCAAAACTAGCAGAAGAAAACACAGAATCAAAATAAATGCCTCTAGTTGATATATCCTCTTCATACCTGGCAGAGAACATCCATTGTACTCTGACCACCACTCTCAGCCAACATCTTGATACGAAACTTTTGCACCCCACTTTTCACATCTTCCTGAGTATCAACCTTCGGAACTGCCTTCACAATCTTACTTGCCACCGAAGACTCCTTCCCAGAATTAAAACTAATCGGCCTCCCAAAATCATCAAATGACGGTGTGGAAGACCAAGTAGAAGACTTAGAACCCGTACCACGCGCACCATATGGCTCCACTTTACCCCCTTGATAAGCATACACTCCATCTCCATAACCTTCATCACCACCACCACCACCACCACCGGATTCATATCTAGACAAACCACCAGCAGCAGCACCGCCGGATTCATATCTAGACAAACCACCATCGTGACGCTTACCATATAATTCCATTCCTAAATCAGACTGGCTCCGATTAAAACTTCCTCCGTATCTGTCATCAAAATAAGCACCAGCACCGTAATCGGATTTCACCGGATTCTCATACGACTCATAAGTCGGAATCGGAGGAACCGAAGAGGCGGTATGAATGTGGGAATACGGAGCGGGAGCGGGAGCAGAATTATACAACGATGAGTTGTGAATAGGATTGGGATTAGGGTTAGGGTTTGGTGGGGCGTAGTTTGGAGGTGCTTGATGTTGATCATACGGAGGATAATAGGGTTGTTGTGACGGTGGCTGATAAGGAGGATTGGAATCGAACTGAGGATTGAAATTAGGGTTGGAAACCGGAACAGGATCGGGATTATGAGGAGGGTATGGAGAATAGGTAGGGTTTGGGTAATCGTAATTGGGGGTGGGGGTGAACGGTGGTGCGGAAGCGTAGTGGTTGGGAATTGGATCGGATTGAGGCGGTGGCGTAGGGTTGGGGTTTTGCATGTGAGGGAATTGGTAGTATGGAGCGGAACTGTAATCTCCTTGATGCATGGTTGATCGTAATGAAATTGATGATGAATCCAAGAGTGGAAGAGAAATATTGATTTGTGTGTTTTTGAGAAGATGATCGTGGAGAATGGGTTAGAACTTACTTCCAGAGTCACCCAATACAAACCCACTTCTCTTTATTCTTCTTCTTAGCATCTTCCCACTTTAAATATTCGTAATTATTATGAATTTATTAAAATAATTCAATAAAAATGGAATAAAGCCCTAATTCTCTAATTATCAATTAAGTTTTTTTTTAACTTATAAAAGTTTTGTATTATTTAAAAATATATATTAATTAGGATTATTTGTTACGTTATGCGATTTTGATGGATTTTATAGTTAGTTTTTCCTCGTATGATAAAATTTATAGGAATTATTGTAGTTGTTTAGCATTTTATTAGGGATATCTATGTGTTGGTACGATATTATTTAAAAATATATATTAATTAGGATTATTTGTTACGTTATGCGATTTTGATGGATTTTATAGTTAGTTTTTCCTCGTATGATAAAATTTATAGGGATTATTGTAGTTGTTTAGCATTTTATTAGGGATATCTATGTGTTGGTACCATACGTATATTTGTTTTTAAAAAATAATTTTTTAAATAAATATTATTTTTATATTTAATTATTATTAAAAAAATTAATTAATAATATAATTGTTTTATTATTATTTAATATTTTGATCAATAATTTCATATTTTTGTTATTATTTAATATTTTGATTTATAATTTCTTATTTCTGTTATTATTAAATATTTTGATCAATAACTTCATGTTTCCGTTAATATTCAATAGTTTGATCACTAACTTCATGTTCTCGTTAATATTTAATATTTTGATCAATAATTTAATATTTCCAATATTCAATATTTTGATCAATAACTTCATATTTCTTTAATATTCAATATTTTTATTAGTAACTTAATGTTCTCGTTAATATTTAATATTTTGATTAGTAATTTAATATTTCTATTAATATTCAATATTTTGATTAGTAATTTAATATTTCCGTTAATATTAATATAGAAAAAAGTTAGGTGCATTTTCTTTGGTGTGGTTTATGTTTTTTTTCAATGAAAATATGAGAAGTGTATAATTTCCTCTTACACATATACAATTTTTTCTTATTTTTACTCCTTAAAAGATATTTAGGTATATTTGTCATATTTTTATTGGTGAAAAAGTATGAACCACACATATGAAATTATATTTAAGTATTCTCCTATTAATATTTTGATCAATAACTCTACGTTCTCATTAATATTCAATAGTTTGATAAATATCTTCATGTTTTTGTTAATATTCAATATTTTAATTAATAATTTCATGTTTCCGTTAATATTCAATAGTTTGATCAATAACTTCATATTTTCGTTAATATTCAATATTTTGATCAGTAACTTCATATTCTCGTTAATATTCAATATTTTGATGAGTAATTTAATATTTTCAATATTCAATATTTTGATCAGCAACTTCATGTTTCCGTTAATATTCAATATTTTATTAGTAACTTCGTGTTTCCGTTAATATTTAATATTTTGATCACTAATTAAATATTTATGTTAATATTCAATATTTTGATCAGTAATTTAATATTTCCGTTAATATTTAATATTTTGATCAATAACTTCATGTTCTCGTTAATATTCAATAGTTTGATCAATAACTATATGTTTTCGTTAATATTCAATATTTTAATTAGTAACTTCATGTTTCCGTTAATATTCAATAATTTGATCAATAACCTCATATTCTCGTTAATATTCAATAGTTTGATTAGTAACTTCATATTCTTCTTAATATTCAATATTTTTATTTGTAGCTTCATGTTCCGTTAATATTCTACATTTTGATTAGTAGCTTCATATTCCTCTTAATATTCAATATTTTGATAAGTAATTTCATATTTCCGTTAATAGTTTAATTTTTTAAAATACTAATAGACATTTATTTGTCAATCTTCATAATCTTGATTTTTCCAACAATAAATTAAATTATTAAGATGATGTTTGAATCTCTATGTTTAAAAAACACATTTGTCATGTTCAAATATAGTTCGTTGACAACCGATATCCGATAATATTAATATAATTAAACAATCATAAATTTAAAAAAAAATGTGATAATTGATTTAGTTGAACAAATATGATTAATTTAGTAAAAAAATATAATTGATATAATTAAGCAATTATAATCGTACACCCATTTAAAAATGGATTAATAATATGTAAAAATATTATTGAGTTAGTTTAACAAATTATTAATTTAATTTATTATTTAAATTATAATTTATTATATTATATAATTTAACCATAATTTTTAATTTAGATATCATCCAAATTTTAAATGCTTTTGATTAAGAAAATGCTTTTTAAGTACCACGTGTAAATTATGATGTTGAAAAAAAGCCAAAAAAAAAACATTTCATTAGTCAATAAGAGTAAGTTCAGTATACTAATTACATTGTTGTCATGTGATTACAATATCATATTATGCATAAATCAAAATCAATTTAATAAGATTAATTTTATTTAATGAAAAAATTTGAAGTAATTTATGTTTAAATATATTTATATGAAGTTTTAAAAAACATTCATATCATATTTAAAAAGTTATAAATTCTAAATTCATTTTTAAAAAAATTAAAAACAAAACCAATTATATTTAAAAGAAACTAAACATGTAAAAGTCTATTCATGAACAAACACAAAATGGAGTGAAACAAGCAGCACTTTCAATTTCACTATCACAATTTTCTGTCCTTTTATTTACAATCTAGTAATTAATATGTGTATAGCCAATTTCTTCTCACTCAATTTGTTATCAAAGCATTTAAGTTTCAATTAAGCAGTGTAAGATGGATAAGCGAAGAAAAACAAAAACAGAAGAAAGAATTTCAAACATGATCCCTACTATACACAGATATTAACATATTTAGCTAAAAATTGTAAACCACAACTTTGAAGTCATAATTACACAAAGATCTAAAACAATTGTGTTTGATGTACACGGCAATCAACAAAGGTCTATACTCGAATGATTCAAAAGAACATGTTGTTTCTCGTACATCGATTGAAGAAAGATCTAAACTCAAACGATCAAAAAATATGTTTCATGTACATCAAATGTACATCAAACACAATCTGCGGACCAGTTTCCACAAGCTCGTGAGCCTCAGCTGCTTCAGAAAAATGGAAACGTTGGTGGACCCAAGACTTTATATTTTCCATCCCCATATCCAATTGCAGGCCAAAGATTCTTCATCATACCATCAATGATCAATTACTTACTTCTAGAACTTATAGTATGCAAGTAATCCACTGCCTATAATCCACCAAATCCTATCTATCAAACCATGTTTTTACTTGAATTGTGCAGGCAAAAATGAAGCAAAAAAGATTGTAATACCTTGGACAGTGAGACGCTTGGTAACTAAAACCCTTATATTCATCTATGCATACAAAGATGCCCCTAGAGTACCGATAATGAAAATCCTTCCATTAAAGTTTAAGTTATCAATATTCTTATGAAAGTAAGGTGTTCCAGTACAATCAAGAATCACATCAACACCTACAACCACATCAATGGTATAATATTACCTCATGAGTCTCTATGCAAACAATTAAAAAAACAAATATATCAAGAATTTACACCATGCTTCATACCTTGACCACCATTTTCTTTCTTTACCCTTGCAGCCAAGTCCTCAATTTTGTAATTGATGCAAACATCGGCTTCTATACTCTCGCAATAAGATATCTTCTCTTGATCACCTGCATAGTAATATGTTGAATAAAATTTATGCTTGGAATTTCAATACTGTCATGAGCCACTACGCCAAAAACTGCTTTTTGCAGCGCCTCTACTAAAGCGCTTATTGAAAAAGCGCTGCCATAGCCTTCACAAAAAACAAAATTAAAAAAAAGGGAAACCTACGAAGGCGCTTTTTTAAAAGCGCTGGCATAGGTGGGGGATACGAAAGCGCTTTTTACATTAAAAGCGCTGTGGTAGGTCAAATAAAAATATTAATAAAAACGAAATAATAGGGTTATGAAGGCGCTTTTTAAAAAGCGCTGTGGAAGATTGGCCTTTGAAAGCGCTTTCAAAAGCGCTGGCATAGGGTCTGATGCTACTAAAGCGCTTTTTAGGCTAAAAGCGCCGTGGTAGCTCAAATATCAAAATTAAATAAAATGAAATATTGAACAGCACAGTTCAGAATACCCACGAAACCCAAAACGAAATATCAGAACGAAGCCCTGTTCATCGTCTTCTCCATCTCACCCTCGCCGGCACGAAGCTTTTCAGCACCGTTCATCATCTCACCCTCGCCGGCACGAACCTTATCAGCACCGTTCATCAACTCACCCTCGCCGGCACGAAGCTATTCTCGTTTTTGTTCTGATTCCTCATCCTCGCCGGCACGAAGCTTTTTTCGTCTAGAGTCGTATCAAAAGGTATGTTTCAAAATCCTTGCCATTCATACATTGCTTCTGTTCGATTTGTCTGTGTTGCCGGGAATCTTGTTTTGTATCTTGCACGCAAACTGTTCGATAAAATGAGGAATATTGTCCGTGGCTTCCAACTGATGTATTACTGCCTAATCTCCTTCAATATCTAAAATTGGAATTTTATATAAAAGTTACTTATGAAATTTTATTTGACAGTTCCGCTTTTTTATGCCGTAGCATACCCACTTCAGTTCAGCTTTCCATTCTTGGGGAGTATGCACTAGCTGCATCCATTTTAGCACCTGCAACCATATTTTTCTAGTCTCAACACATTCAAAAAATAGGTGACTACAACTTTCCTGTGCACCACAGTAGATGCATTGTCCATCAGTTTTTTTCCTGTTATTAGCCTGCACAGTATTCCCCACCTTAATAGGAGCATGATCAAAATTAACACTAATTCCTTTGCTTTTATGTTCCTTACTGATGATGCAATTTCATTAACTTATAGGAAACATGGAAAACAAATTTGGAATCACAACAAAAATGGGCTAATAATGTTGTTGCTGATAGATACTTTGCACTCAATTTGTTGGTTAGTTGAAACTAATCCATCTTTTTCACTTGGTTATCGTTGAGATCACCCTACAATTAGTACAACTTACTTTTTTTTTTATAAAAAAATTCTAATCATTTTTAAGTTTAGAATTCACCATCTGACAATGATGTGAATGGTCTTTTAAACTGGAAGCAACAATCAATCATTTCTCATATCTTACTGATTCATTGCTATGACTGAAATTCAGTCAAATTAAAATAATGTATTCTCAAGATCTTAGTGATACGTAAATAACATTTCTCTAATGTGTTTGAGCTAAATGGTATATAGATTATAATGGAGAACATTGGTTCAGTAATGACTTTGGCTCTAATAGCCATAAAAACGGATATCACGTTTCCTAATACTTTAAATAATTAACTACTATATAAATACTAGTATTTTATTTTTAAATATTAGTAGTTCTATAAATTCATTTGGTAAGAAGGTGCAGAATTTTACAAAGCATTTGCTATGAGATGGAGGGGTTATAATAAGAGGAGTTGTTTGATCCTATGCTTTGGCCTTTAGCAACTGTGTCCCCTATTACTTGTTTTTGCCTCTCTTTTTCAAGAAATGAGTGCTTCTTTTCATCATGGCACTTGATCACATGTGAAGGATATTCTTAGTTGGCGCAAAAAAGCAAGAGTCTGAGTACTTTTGAATTGAAAAATATCATTTAATCTCAAAAAGAATAATGTATATAGAAATTCAATACCCTTGCGTCCGCAATACTTTTTTTTTCTACTGAAACTAATTGATTGTGTTATGTGCAACTTAGTAAAGTGTACCAATAGCATTTTTAATATTAGAGACAACCACAAATGAGTGATAGTTCAACGATTTAATATCGATTTTTAGATAAAAATTACATCAGTTATTGTAATTTAAATTTGTGTGTGACTCCTTTGTGGGAGATTGATTTTAAGTGTTATTGTGGTAGGAAAAAGCTGTGAAACTTTCTCCGATTGAAGAAATTCGAACTGTCCTTGATCGTAGTGTACGCGGGACGCTCTCAACATTTTCAAAGGTTTCTATCCTATTCTTGAACTGACTTGAATAACTGATTGTTTTTACTTTTATTTTCCGGCTCAGTGTGAATTTCTAATGATTATAGTTGAGTGGAATTCATGAGCTGCGGTTGTGTTTTTGTTTATATTTAGACTGTTATGGCAGTATAGAGCTGTATATGGCAGTATGGCAGTATTGATAGCATTGAAACGAGCACGTTTCAGGGATTCATCAAACATCAATGAAAATCTTAAACACAATGAACCATGCAACACATTAGTTAGCGTGTAGATGTTAGAATTTAGGACTATAGGACTATACCAAAAATATCTGACGGGATTTTTCCGTTGCTAAATCTTCCGGTTGCTTCTCCTCCGATGAAATCTTTACCGTAAGGTTTGAAATCCGACTTCACTATTGTTTGAATATAATTGTTATTACCTGTATCCAAGACTGAATCACTAGTATCCGACTTCACTAGTTAGTAATTAGTTATGAGTTGTTTAGCACATGCTTAAGGTGAGGCAAGAATAACTATGAATTTGATTACCTGATATGTTGAATTTCTTTACAGGTAATTAATTATTATTTTGCTATAGTTGCGTGACTAATTAGTTGCTATAGTCAAACCATGGATAAAAAATGGATGACTGCCAATCGATTGTCGAAAGAGTATGAGGATGGGGTATCAGAATTCGTTAAGTTTGTCGTTGCGCACGCCAGAGAACCCAATGGAATGATATGTCCTTGCTTGAGATGCTGTTATGGGAGACGGGTTGACGCGGTTCAGTTGAAATCGCATTTACTGATGCATGGAATTGATAGAAGTTATGCATGTTGGAATTTGCATGGTGAGAAAAGTAGCGGGAATGTTGAATCGAGTTATAATACGACGTATGCTTCAAATGAGGATTTCGCAGACGCATACGATTATGATCGAGTCGAAGAGATTGCAGAAGCGCTTGAAGAAGATCTTGAGGATTGTCCCAAAATGTTCGAGAGGTTGGTAAGCGATGCAGAGAAACCGTTGTATGATGGTTGTACAAAATTCACAAGATTGTCTGCGGTGTTAAAGTTGTACAACTTAAAGGCGGACAACGGATGGTCGGATAAAAGTTTCACACAGTTATTAGCCCTCGTGAAAGAAATGCTACCAGAGGATAATGTTCTTCCCAATCGAACGTATGAGGCCAAAAAGATGTTGTCCTCTATTGGCATGAGCTATGAAAAGATACATGCATGTCCAAAAGATTGCGTTTTATTTCGAAACGAGTACGCAGTGTTAAATGAGTGTCCTAAATGCGGTGCCCCTCGATATAAGGAAAAGTTGTCTCCGGAAAAGGTGTTATGGTATTTTCCTATAATTCCGAGATTTAGGCGCATGTATCGTAGTGAGACCGATTCAAGACACTTGACTTGGCATGCAGATGAAAGAATTATTGATGGGAAGTTGCGACATCCGGCAGACTCACCACAGTGGACGAAAGTTGATATTGATTATCCTGAATTTGGAAAAGAAGCAAGAAATCTTCGCTTGTCGTTGTCTACTGATGGAATGAACCCGCATGGTATTCAAAGTATCTCGCATAGCACCTGGCCTGTGATTCTTATGATATATAACCTACCTCCGTGGCTATGTATGAAGCGTAAGTACATGATGCTATCTATGTTAATTTCTGGGCCCAAACAACCAGGGAATGACATAGACGTGTACTTGGCACCCTTAGTCGAAGATTTGAAGTTTTTGTGGGAGACCGGTGTGGAGGTTTACGATGGGTATAGGAAAGAAAGTTTCAACTTGAGGGCGATGTTGTTTGGAACAATTAATGATTTTCCGGCGTACGGAAATCTATCAGGGTACAACATTAAGGGTCAAAAAGCGTGTCCTGTTTGTGAAGATGAAACCGATACGATGTGATTGAACTTTTGTCAGAAGAATGTTTTTCTCGGTCATCGTAGATTCTTAAATTCTAATCATCACTATCGTGGGTGGAGAAAGGCATTCAATGGAGAGGCAGAACACGGTAGAGCTCCACATATGTTGACAGGTGATCAGATTTTTGAAAAGGTGAAAGATGTGAGTACTGAGTTTGGCAAGCCTTTTGCACATAGACTTGTCACGAGTGGGTGGAAGAAGAGGTCGATTTTTTTTGAACTTCCATATTGGAAGTCGTTGTACGTAAGACATTTCCTCGATGTTATGCATATTGAAAAAAATGTATTTGATAGTGTTATTGGTACGTTACTCAATATACAAGGAAAGTCTAAGGATGGCATTAACATAAGGAAGGACATGTTAAACATGGGAATTAGAACTGAATTGGCACCCGTGACGAAAGGAAGACGCACATATCTACCACCTGCTGTTTACACTCTATCTAGAAAGGAGAAGAAAATATTGTGTAAGTTCCTCAGTGAAGTTAAAGTTCCAGAAGGCTACTCATCAGATATTAGAAGACTTGTGTCAATGAAAGACCTAAAGTTAAAGAGTTTAAAGACTCATGATTGCCATGTTATAATGGAACATTTTCTACCAATAGGTATACGTTCTATTCTGCCAGAAAAAGTAAGGAGCGCAATAACTAAGTTGTGTTTTTTCTTCAAGTCAATTTGCAGCAAGGTGATCGATCCTGCGATCTTACCAACATTGCAAAAAGAGGTGGTTGTTACTTTATGTGAGCTTGAAATGTATTTTCCTCCCTCGTTTTTTGACATAATAGTTCATCTAGTCGTTCATCTTGTCAAAGAGACACAGTTGTGCGGACCAGCTTATATGAGATGGATGTACCCTGCTGAACGTTATATGAAAATTTTAAAAGGGTACGTGAAAAACCGAAGTCGACCGGAGGGTTGTATTGCGGAACGATACATTGTTGAAGAAGCGGTTGAGTTTTGCACTGAATATCTGTCAAATGTTCAATCAATTGGACTCCCCAAATCTCATACTGTCGAGAAAAAAGAAGGAAAAAGACTAATTGGAAATAAAGTTGTGACAGTGTCAATGGTCGAACGGGATCAGGTGCATTTGTATGTTCTGCACAATGAGATTGAGGTTGAGCCGTATGCTGAAATGCACAAGGGTGTTCTTCGAGGTTTAAATCTGAATAGAAATGAGAATTGGATAGTACGAGAGCACAATCGAAGTTTCATACCGTGGTTTAAGGAACAAATTTATTCAAAGTATCGTTCGGATCCTGCTTCAGTAACAGAAAGGTTGAGATGTTTAGCATATGGTCCAAGTATGATTGTGTTTTCTTATAGCGCATACGCAATTAATGGATACACATTTTATACCAAAGA